CCCTGTACAACTGAAAATATTTTTTAAATATGTGGCCCATTGAACTGAATAACTAGTCATTTCGAATTTTCTGTGAATTCAATAGTCCATGAGATATCGAAGAATTACGCACTAAATGGACACACTGTATATGTATGTTTCCTTGTTCCAATATATATACAACTACAGAGTGACATATTTGTGTTTGGACCAGGTGCTCTAATAGCAAATCCCGCGCCAGTGCCAGGTATAGGAAAAAGACGTGGAAAATGTTAGGTTAATGAGCATATCAACAATAATAATAGCGATTATTTATTTCTCTCCATACTCCACTGAGTTTGGTTCGATAATCAAATGAAGGTAATCAATATCGTTGTTTGAGACAAAAGACTATTGCTGGCCGTGATTATTAAAAAACAAGTTATCCATCCCAAAAATAATGATTGATATATAGATCGAGCAAGTATGTGAATCTTGAAGGCTCTCCTGATCAAAACAAATATACTAAACTACAATGAAGTGTGGGTATGAAATGCCAAATCTGCCGAAATCGGAAACAAATCAGGGCGTCCCAACCCAAATTACCAACCGTAATAATGTTGTTTGTACTTTTTTGTCGGTTGCAGAAAAACGTTATTTTTCGTACGTTAATGTCTACGTGGAGGTCTACGTACAGTGATCATTTCAACTCTCTAATATTTATTATGTGTTTGGGATCACACGTTAAAAGTTCATTCCTTGTTCGCCCAAGTCTCTCGTAGACTTCTAACAAAAAAAAAATTAGTCATTAAAGAGCTTGACAATTTTTGAAAATGTTCTGCCTGTACTCGTGAAATATGTAGTATACAGGGTGGCCAAACGAAAATGAAACAGAATAAGATCTTCCGAGAGAATGTTTCTTCGAGAAAACACTGAAATAGGTTGATTGTTAATTCATGGGGATACCTACCCTTTTATTCGTCCGTCAACTGTCCGATATGTCATTTCTTCTTTTTCTTACAACTGATAGCCCTCCGGATTTTATGAAAAATCTCTGGTCAGTTTAAGAGATACAGAAGTTGAAAGATAAAAGTAGTTTTTTGAAATGATGATTCGAAATCGGTCAAGTTTTTGTCATACGATTTTTATATGATTTCTAGAACCGCAGTTGAAATGCTTATTGAAAAAATCTTCAACTGAATTAGAACAGTTTTCGATATGTTTGTCCCAACATAATCAACTTGTAATTTTTTCATAATTTTCAATGGTAGAAAATTCCAAAAATGTTTGTGAGTTTAAGAATCATGAAGTATTTGATCAACTGACCACAATTTTTTTTGGGTATTTTCGTAATGCTCTGCTTCTGAAAATGATGAAACAAATAAACAAAACAGTTTAGCTGATTCCAACTTCATGAGTTTCTTTAACAAAACTGAATACGGAATTCAAGATATTGAAAATGATCGTAATTTTCTCAGTAACAAAATATAGGAGAAAAAATTATCAAAACTTCCCCTACAGCAACACAAATATATCGGGAATGATTTTCCGATACAATTAATTTTGATCTTGTTTCGTAGTAGATTGAACGAAGCAAATCGCCAACTTCATATTTCATTACATTCGTTCAAAAAACAAATTTTGGAACATTTTTGAGTCACACTGTATGTTTTCAATGAAAGCTTGAACATTTCTCAGCAGAACAAGATGCACTTCGGATGAAAGCATCCCTGTATACCGTTTCGTGATTAGGGAGTGTTTATTTGTTATTTATTTGCGTAGGGGTGCTCCTGCCACGCTCAGATGAAAAAAAAACATATTATCATCAAATCTAGATAATAAATTAATGATATTTAATGTTCAATTTCAAACCATTTGTGCAATTCTTGGAGGGCCATGAATTGAATTGAATAAAATTTCCTATTATGGATAGAGTGAGTCGAATTATATTAAAAAAATCCCAAATCAGTTAAAAATGTTTGAAATACAGATAGATCATCAAATACAAATTGGAGAGATGAAATTTTCATCGTTTCAATTCGGTTTCATTAGAATCATTAAATAATTCCTCAGTGAAACCCTACAGTTTTCTTTGTGATGTCGAAAAAATTTTTGAATTAAAATATTTATCTATGTATGATGTATGTTTCCTTGTTCCAGATCATCATTGAGACCAAAGGAACAATAAATTTCACGCATGGAATTCAAAATACATAAGTGAGTACAATAAATATCACACTCGAGTTGACAGTTATTGCATGTTTTATTAATCACGTTCCAGATTTTATATTCTGGAAGTGTTTAGCCTGGCTACTGTTCGGCTAGACGACCGATCACTCAGTAGAATACGAATACTTACACAGTATAGTTATTTATATAGACAACAAGAATATATTCGAGATGTATACATCTTGATTATTCAGGCGATAGAAATTCCGAAAATTTTTATACAAAAAAGATCCCTTTGTTGATACTCGATAAAACGCTTCGTTTTCGAGAAAAAACGGAAAAACGAGACCAGACTTCAAATTTTGATGTCTGAAATTCGTATACCGATTCAGTCACATAGCAGAATGAATTTTGCCATCACGAAAAGCTATACAGGGTGGACAAAAAATAATCTATGCATATTTTCAACATTGACAGTTGACACCCTGTATCTTAAAAGTTAGGACGTTTACTACATATGATCATATGAAGTTTCATTCTTGAAATAAATGGGTCGAAGAATTGACCTCTTGAATATTAGCATATCAATGACAAACACCCTATAGATTTATAGATGCCACCAGTCGAATTATTTCGATCCACCCCTTCAGAGGGGTAGTTTATTCTTCCATCAAATCACCCCCTGAAGGTGTGAACCGAGATAATTCATTGGTGGCATCTATAAATTTGTATGGATATCCAAATATGTAATATGATGGAAAAATACGAACCAGAAATGCTCGGTTAGCAAGGTCAGCAAGGGAAGCTTCAAAGCAATAACGGGATTTCTAACGGGGCATTGCAGACCCAAAGAACACCTAAGGAAGCTAGGCTTACAGGAGGACGGCACCTGCAGATTCTGTGAGGAAGAACCAGAAACACCCCATCACATACTGATGGAGTGTGACGCTGTACATCACAAAAGATTGAACATACTGGGAACACACCAGCTGACTGTGGAAGAAATACCACAGCTAGACCCCCTCAAAGTCCTCAAATTCCTGAAGGAATTGAATCTCGAGGGGCTGCTATGAACAAGCAATCCTTGATATAGCAGAAGCAGATGGGGCACAATAGATCTAATTAGGTCGCAGCGCATCTGTCACCATCCAACACCTACCAATACCAAAGGATATTTGAAAAACTGCGAGAATAAACTACCCCCCTAAAGGGGTATCAAAATAATTCTACTGGTGGCATCTATAAATTTATATGAGATATCCAAATATGTAATTTGATGGAAACAAAGGAACCAGAAATGCTCGGTCAGCAAGGAATTTTGAAAAACTGCGCAAGAATAAACTACCCCTCTGAAAGGGGGGATCGATATAATTCTACTGGTGGCCGCTATATGTGTATATTTACATAAGATATTCAAATATTCCATTTGAAGAGAAAATTCGAATCAGAAATGCTCGATCAGCAAGGATTTTTGAAAAACTGCGGGAATAAACTTCTCCTTTAAAGGGGTAGATCGAGATAACTCCAGTAGTGGCATCTATATATTCGAATACGATATCCAAATATGTAATTTGAGGAAAAAACTCGAATCAGAAATGCTCAGCAGCAAGGATTTTTGAAAATCTGCTAAAATAAACTACTCCTCTGAAAGGGTTGATAGAAATAATTCCAATAGTGACATGTATAAATATATATGTGATATTCAAATATGTAATTCGATGTGCTCGGTCAGCAAGGATTTTTGAAAAACATCACGAATAAACTACCCCTCTGAAAGGGTGGATCGAAATAATTCCACTGGTGGCCTATATATCTATATAAGATATTCAAATATGCAATTTGAAGATAAAATTCGAATCAGAAATGCTCGGTCAGCATACTTTCATGTTGGTCAGCAAATTATACACCCCCAAAAATCAACTGCGCATTCCACTGACTTGAAATTTCGAATGTATACAGTGGACTTTCCTATTTGAATAGGTTTAATTAATACTTCAAAAGTGCTACAAATTGAGAGAGATCCAAACGACCATTTTTCGCGGTGTGATGTCACTTGTATTTTCTTGAGGCTCCCTCTGACGACCCAAAGAGGATGCTTTGCACAAAACCACAGACACAGAACTTGAGCACAGAGTGGTTGGGTGATCTGTGACTTGATAGAAAAATGGCTACAAAACAAACTATATAGAAGAAGAAAAACATTAACCTCGAAATCTAGTTCATAGTTCATTATTTCATTTCATTTTCAGTGACCTATCAGTGTCATATTAGTGATATTCTTTCAATCTGAATTAACTGAAAAGATGTCACTTGAACTGAACTGAATCAGTTAATATGCGTTCTTTCAGATGACGTTCATTGCATGTCAACTGATTCAGTTCAGTTCAAGTGACATGTGTCAGTACGTTCAGAACGAAAGAATATCACTATTATAGTTTTTATTGAGTGACGAATGCAATGACAAATGGTGACAAGACCGTCCGAAGTGTATGACGCGGTGTGACGCACTTTGTATTCGTCCAATGGAATCCCATCAATATTTCGCGTGCATTAGAGCACTCGTTTGAGTTTAAGTTCAATTTAATCCTTTTTTTCTGGGTCAACCGCAATCGTAAGAAAATTGAAGTAATGCTGAATTCACCCAGTATGTGTTCTAAATCGTGAAAAAAAAAATTCAAAAAATCATAGTGAAATTCCCTATAGGAAGATAAAATTTGAAATTTAGAGAAAGAACTCGAAATTTAGAGAAGGAACTCGAAATTTCGAGATGAAAACTCGAAATTTCTAGATGAGTAGTCGAAATTTTGGTATAAAAGTCGAACAATCAGCATACTGAACACTTTCCCATATTTTTAGAGACACCAGTTAACACAATGCAACAGAGGGGCACAATCGTTACCGTGGATTCTGAGGAGGGTGAAAATCCATCGTCTTCACCACCATCTAGAAGCAGAGTGAGTAAACGCAATAAGTTAGAATTATATATTTCATGCACTTCAGGGATTTAAAGGGTACCTTTATTCCCTATTTTCGGGGAAAAAGTGGTACTTTAAACCCCAAGGGATTCAAAGTTACTTAAAATCCCTAGGGATTCAAAGTAAATTTCATTGCAATAAAAGCTAAATTTATAAATGTATTTTCAAAATGTCTGTTGCAATTGTGGCTGTTGTGACGATGCTTCAAGCTTTTTTGACTTTTCCAAGAAATATGCTAGCAGTACTTTTCCTTATGTACATTTTTCTACGTTCCGTTCTTTGCTCCTATTGATAAACTCAGATAACTGTTTTTCATATTGTTCTTCAGATTTTCTTTGTAATAATTGGCCTACAGCTTCCTGAGCTGCCTTTTTGATTTGTTTCATCGCGATCAACGTCTTTCAATCGATGTGGCGTGTTTGACTAATATTTAATTATTTATGTTTTACTAAGTTACTTATAACAAGATAACGTGTTTATAACACACCAAGATTTTCAGTTGTCGATGGCAATCATGATCTGGATCACCATAGTTACTGAGGTCGTTGATATGTAAAATGGGGTGAATAGGGTCAATTTTCAACTTTGAGCAGCTGTAACTTTTTTTTGGTAAGACATAGAAAAATGATTATTATGTTCAAATTTGAGTCCCGACCTATAGTTTCGATTGTACATATCGATTTTTGATTTTGGTGGAAATTTGAAATGTTATATATTTTCATATGCCCTGACCCGATTCACCATAAGGGTGGGGTCAATCGAATCAGTGACTTGAAACTCATCAAAAATTGTCTCAACTGACTTGAGGTTGAAAAGGGTCAGGTAATATTATTTTTTTTTTATTAAAATGCACCAGGACAAGAAAATAAGTTTAATTTCTACAAATAACAGATCATACAAAAATAACTTAACTTAGGAATTTTTTTGAGGAATGATACATTCAGAATATGACTAATGTTCTAGGTCTTTAGAATTGAGGGCGAACTTCAGAAGGCCTCTAAGATAGTTTTCTGGTGGAGAAACTTTCCCAACCACCTTCTCGAAGTGGAAAGTGTCCACATCTGGAACATCCGGGAAGTTGTAAATATAGTCGCAATAGTTTTTCGTTGTTTTGGGTCTTACAAATTTTCCTTCGAAATAGCCCCTTTCCTTTATTCCTGTAATTTGACCAATGAAATAATGATTCCCATTACCTTGAGACGATTTGCTCAGTTCGAAATCATACGCTACCACCAACCAATCGCCTATAGCGACCTCAGATTCAGAAATAGGATGAATATTCTTAAAAGTTCTACCAAACTTTGTCACCATTGTCGGAATATTAGGCGGGGTATTCTCATCATTCAGGTCCTCATCCTCCAGTTCCTCGTGCACTGTACTCTCATCTGAATCATCATCCAATTCCACTGATTCATTTTCTGAATCATCAGTGCTGTCTTCAGAAACTGCTACACTTCTACCAGCAGCAATATTAAATTTTTTTCTCGTCTGGCGTCTTTTAGGAGAACCGTCATATCTCATTTTTCGTAGAAGATCTGTAACCGAATTCTCTATGGCTTCTGTGATAACCTGATTGTCAACTTGCAATTGCTCTTTAGGGAGCATTTTCAACACTTGGCTTCTATCTATTGGAATAATTCCAGCCTTACGAAATCCAGATCTAATATTATTTTCTACATTTTCTTGAATTGCAAGGTATAGTTTTCCCAGAAGTCTCGGAAACACATCTTTGGGAATTGATGATTCTTTCATACCAGGTCCCTGTTTCCAGTCGGTTAAAATTCTTCGCCAGGCTCCCTTCAATGGACGGAAGAAGGCAATATCTAGTGGCTGGGTGAGATGAGTAGAATTGCTAGGTAGGAATACAAATCGAATATTGTGTGCCTGACAAAGGCTTATTGCCTCTGGAGCAATGTGCGAAGATAAATTATCTCCTATCAAAACCTTTGTTCCCGGCAGTTTCTTCAAATATGGCACAGCTACAGTCTCGACCCAATCAGTAAAAGTTATCATATCAAACCAGCCACTGGCTGTAACATTATATCTAGTGTGTTTTGGACCTCCTTGCATCCAAGTGGAATATATATTCTTGGCCTTGTAGATGACGTAGCTTGGTAATAATACACCATCTCCACTGGCAGCAAACATGATTGAGACTGAGGATTTTGTTTGATTCATTATCCTTTCAGGATACTTGCAGCCCCGTTTTGCGATAATCTTCTTCCTTCCTGGATCATTAGCTAGATTGGTTTCATCATAGTTAACTATATTGCAGGGAGGGATATCATTCAGGGTGTCCCCCAAATTATCAAAATATTCATTGATAATCTGAGGAGAAACAGACGATCTAGCCCGTTTGATATTCTGACATAATCGAACTGCAAGTGCATCTTTATGTCGAGACAAAAACCCCAAAGCAAACTCTCTACCAGGCATGTTGTCCTTGAACTTATTCACAGTTTTACCTTTTCGGTCCAAATATGATTTTACAATTGCACGTAAACCATATAGATCCATTGGATAGCCCCATTCTGCACACAGTCCTATTTTTTCCACAAGTGTATTTTCTTCTGCGGCTGATAACGTGGTCTGACCCCCCTTTTTTTTCATATCATTATTTTTAGTACGCCTCTGTAGCACACTATCGGATATTTCGTAATGCTTCGAAGCCTCCCGAATAGACATTCTTCCTCCCTTCACAGCAGCAAGCGCCTCATTCATAACATCCGAACCATATTTCTTATTAGGTTTAGCACGTGGGTCTGGTTTGTAAAGTCGCGGCATGTCGGCCCGATTCACCCCCACTTTTCTGGCCACCGGTTTTTTTTTATAACTTATGGCCTCTAAAAAAAAGTAGTCCAGATTTATCAAATCGCTCTTGACACAAGTTATAATAATGTTTAATGATGCGAAAACTGTATTTACCTTGATAAAATCGATGTTGGTTCACTCACTAGCTATAAAGTTATTGAGGGTACGTTTTTGTAGACTAAATTTCATTTGAGGTTAGGAACGTCAGAAACACACTGAACAGTGAGAAAATACTGGGAAACGCTATCCAACGCTCGACTGGACCTCCGTCATCAAAACAGCGTTGCCAGATTGACATTATTGCTGTTCAAAAATATTTTATGATTTTTCATCTATTGCGGGAAAGTTTCGACCCTATTCACCACACCGGTTCTATTCACCCCATTTTACGGTAACAATCAGCCTCTTCGATGATGTTTTAGACATAGAGTAACTACCGTATAGTAGCATTTAAATTTTTTGCGTTATTTTTTCTTCAAAGCTTTTCCTCTCCTGAAATGCATAAAATAGTATATACATCACGGTACTAAAGTGTTTTTAATTTAAATCCCTCGACAAATCATAGCCCTCCCGTTGGGCGGGCTATAAACTTTTTGTCTAGGGATTTAAGATACGACTTCATTCCCTAGGTGTTTATTGACTATTTACTTTCCTGGCAATATGCCACGACGAATATTGAATTACATCTATTGAACACACACGATAAGAATTTGAAAACAAAATCTTCTGAAGTAGAGAATTTCCATTCTCCTTCATATAAAGATATGCATATAATATCATTCTGAATATTCAACATTCCTTTTCAATACTTTCACCCAATCAAGGGGTTGAAACTTGAACGATGGAAACTTGTTATTATTTTTATAGACCTCAATGGCATATACGCGATTAGGTTTTTCTCAATTCAGAATTTCTTTCCACGTCCTGTATGATGAATGTCAATTTATCATACATCCAAAAAAAATATCAAATCATTTATCTTGCAGCACAACTCGAAACCGAAAGTCCTAGTCAGGAGCCATGCGATGCGCGAGGAGACGTCCCCGCCGCGTGAGCCCAGCCCCCACCGCCCGCCTCGCCTCCACCACCGGCCGCCCTCGCCGCGAATCGAGCTCGTCCCCTCCCCGGGACCGCCCGACCCGCCCCACCACCAACACCGGCTGCCCTCCCCGCCCGCTGTCGTGCTCAGCCCGTCGCTGGGGTCGCCCGGGCGGGGGCAGTCGCCCGCGGGCACGATCGTGCCGTCGCCGAGGCCGATGTCGAGGGGCTCGCCGGATCGGGGCGTGGAGCCCGAGAATGAGGCGAGATTTGTGGTAAGGAGAAAGTCAACATTTTTACGCATTTCTTTGCTGGAAATTCCATTCTGAATTCATCGGGAAAACAACCTCCAAACATAACGCCAATTGACAGTCATATGCCTGAGATCACCTTTCGCCAACGTACTATATGGAACAACAAAGCTTGTGGCTCTGACGGAATCCCACCGATTGTTCTCAAAAAATGTGCTCCCGAACTAACACCTGTTATTCTCTGCAAGTTGTTCAACTACTCTTACAAATTGGGGATATTCCCGTCCAACTGGAAAATTGCAAGAGTGCAACCAGTTCCTAGCAACTACAGACCGATCGCACTGCAATCTATTTTTTCAAAGATTATGAAGGAAGCTATCAACATCGAGCTCATGAAATACCTGGAACATTCAGGTATTATCAACGATAGGCAATATGGCTTCCATCATCAGAGATTAACTGGTGACCTGCTCGCTTACGTCTCACATATATGGCAGCAATCTATTGAAAAATATGGTGAAACCTTAGCCGTGGCACTTGATATCTCCAAAGCATTCGATCGAGTCTGGCACCACGGACTTCTCGCCAAGCTTCCATCTTATGGCTTGCCTCCCCAGCTATGTTCTCTGCTAGCTAGTTTCAGGTCTCTCTATGTAGTGGTCGACGGAGTTTCATCTGATTCTCTCACCATAAATGCTGGTGTTCCGCAAGGATTAATTCTAGCACCAACACTATTTCTACTCCATATCAACGATTTGTTGGAAGCAACTCCATGTCCAGTACACAGTTTCGCGGATGATAGTACCCTCCATACCGCCTTCTCTTCCAGGGCTCCAATACCAGCCAGGCAAATCAGAAACGAACGAGGGAGAAATGTTGACAACATAAATATGGACTTGGCAACAATTCTCGAATGGGGATCCAATAACTTGGTAGATTTCAATGCAAACAAAACACAAGCATGCCTTTTCTCTAGAAAAGCCGATCTCACTGTGCCAAACATAAGCATGTCAGGAGTAACCATACCTTTGAAGACATCCATTTCGATGATTGGTATCACTATCAGCAATAACCTTTCTTGGGAAAATCACGTGAGATCAATTGCTTAAAGTACATCCCAAGAACTTGGTTTTCTGTTTCGGGCCAGGAGCTATTCAACTTCCAGTCGGCTGCTAATGATCTATAAGGCACAGATCCGACCTGTCCTGAAATACTGTTCCCATATTTGGAGTGCGGCACCCAAACATAACCTGAAACTGTTGGATTCTGTTCAGAAAAGCGCAATTCGTCTCGTGGGTGATGCCTCCCTCACAAACTCACTCACTTCTCTGGAACACCGTAGAAAAGTGAAAGTGAAATATCAACAATTGTACCTCCCTTGGCAGTCCCCGCGAGATTAACCCCGTCGTGTTGAGGCTTCGCACCCCTTCCTGGTCACTTTGAAGACCTGCAGAACATCTATTTCCAAAGACTCGTTCATCCAACGAACAGCGAGGCTCTGGAACACATTGCCAAGAGAGGTGTTTCCCCAGGCATATAACCTCCAGAATTTTAAGAGGAACACCAATTCCTACCTTATTTTCCTTGGTTCTCACATTACAGGATACCCCTTTTCGTGGGAACCAGAACATAAAAAAATACCCATATGAGCGATAGTTGTCTGCGTCCTGTCAGTATCTCTATAAGGAGGCCCAGTACTTGGCAATCCCTGCGAAGCAACCACGTCATCTTTGACTTGTTTAGAACGGCCGCCCGGTTTCTTGATTGCCTGCAGCCGCCTATATGCCTCCCATATCCTCCTAGTGCTTTGTCAGCCCATTCGTTGAGGGCTCCGGTATCCAGAACGGTATCGTGGATCCGATTCCAGCCAGCTCGTCGGCCACTTCGTTCCTTGGCACCCCCCTCTGTGACCCGGAATCCATACTAGTTCGATTTACTTCAGATATAGTTTCTCAAGAGTTCGGGATGGCTGATAGCTTTGAGCGCCGCTTGACTATCCGACGTAATAACAAAAGATGTAAATCTCATGCTCTGGTCCCTCTTTCACAAGCCCTTATACCTATTCCTTCTAAGTAAATTCCCGCACCTAAGTCCTTTTTGTCAGTTAGGCGCGATCCGTTCGTGTAACATACTAGACTCCTTAGGCAAAATGCCATTTTGTTCTCTTCCCATTGTTCCATCTGAACCTATATTGAGAGTTCTTCGCTCTTAGGGTGGAGATAGGGATCTCACTGCTTCGTAGTTAGCCCAACTCCCAGAGTCCTCCGGCCGCGTTTGCTTTCCTCTTAATCCAAAAAATGTCTAATAATGTCTGTAATCTGTGTAACCACATTATCCAATGTTTCACTTAATGATAATTAATAATAAGTCAGCCCCAAATTTCCGGCATTACCTTGTTTTATTTTTTTTTCAGACCTCGAGTCCCAACTTGACAAATAAATTAAACAATTCGAAAAACGGGGACTTATCGAAACAAGCTAGTCATAGTTTTAGGAAAAAGTACGTATGTGATTGCCAAAACCAGAACTGCCTGAAATGTGTCAACACTCAGGAGAGAAACATCAATAATAACTTAACGAACGTCAATAATAATGTGATGGGAAGCCCTAACATGCTGTCAGTGTCAAAGACAAATGGGCGAGGGAAACTGAGGCAACAGAGCTCGTCACAAGGGAGTTTTGAAAGTTCATCTATGTCTCCCTGTCTATCTAGAGGTAAGAATATTGATTTTAGTTTGCTGGTTCGGATATCAACACAATACAATACAATAGAATATAATGTATTTTAAACTGAACATTGAAAAAACTGAAAATTTTAAGAAATACTATTATTATTAGAGCTTTCAATGTGTCAATCCGAGGTCCAAAGTGTGATTTCACAATTTTTTCAAGTATTGGCTGCGCAAAGATTCACACTCGCGCCTCTAGTGGCTGAAGCTGAAGCTACCTGAGTCGAGGGGGTTGCCACGAGCAGATTCAACGTACGAAATATTGCCATTTCCCTTTATTTCCCCGCATTTCTCAGTATTGCCCTGCATTTCCCTATATTGCCCCTTATTACCCTCGATTTCCAAATATTTCCTGGTATTGCCTCAAATTTCCTTTTATTTACCCATATTTCCTCGCATTTCCCCGCATTTCCCAGTATTGCATCGCATTTCCCAACATTGCCTATCATGTTCTGATATTGCCCCGTATTTCCCGTTAGAGTCTCGCATTTCCCGGTATTACCTCGCATTTCCCGGTATTGCCTCCCATTTCCTGGTATTTCCTCGTATGTCCTGGTACCTACCTATTGTATTATGCCGCATGTCCTGATAGTACCCGTTCTTCCTGAATGAATTATTACTCGCATTTTTCAGTTTTGCCCCTCTTTCATAAAAACTGACACCCACTTCATGGTTATAATTTCACATTCTTCTGATGTTGTATAAAACTGTGTATATTATATAGAGATGGGTAAGACCTCGGATAAGACCATGAACATTCGAATCAATCAGCATCATTATCTACTTGAAGGAATATTCGGAATGGAAAGGAAGTAGGCAGACGAATATAGGTAGATAAAAAACACAATCCTTTATTCTCTTCTAAAGAATGAACAAATAAAATATCTCCAATACCTATATCATGTATCAGCGAAGTGAAAACATCTAAAGGGTCATTCAATATGAGTAATGGTTTTTCAAATAGAGATTTCTCGGCTTCTGATTCATATATTTTTTTTATTTCTAGGTGTTACTAGTGTGCAGTTTCATAATGCAACATTTTACTCCTCTCGATCGGTTGGAAGTAACGAAAAATACCTATACCAAAAGGATCGAGAGGAGTCAAATGTGTATAGTAACACCTATAAATAAAAAAAAATATGTACTAGAAACCGAGAAATCTCTATTCGGGAAACTATCACTTATTGAAACACCCTTCAGTAGGTAACGAGACAATGACAAAAACTAAACAAAACCATCATTCTGAAACTTAAGAGAAAGAAAATTATCTTTCATACAGGTACAACATACAGGTACAACATATGTTTTCAACAGAAACTAGACCTGAACTCCCTTCTTTTTTAAATTCTTGAATATTTTAACAATTCTATTTCTATCATATCTTGTGATTTGTAGTGGATCACATCCAAGCATATTGATCGGACCATAAAATATTTGTTCCTTTTGGACACAATCAACATCATCTGGTTTTGGCCAATAAAAATTACTTAGGTCTTCCTTTAGAAATTTCAGAGTGAACATATCATTTTCATTGCATTTTAAAACTCTTCCAATATACCATCTTTGATCGTAGAACACACCATAATATTTTTCAGCGGAAATTTCCAATCTAATTTTTTCAGTCTCATCCAGGGCTACATCTAAAGAGTTATCATCTTCGAATTCATTGAGTTCTTCAGAATCAGAATCAGTCAATCTAATTGAATTTGAATTTGAATCTGAGTCTGAATCTCGAAAAGAAGCAGTTTTAAGATGGTCTAGTATATCCATTTTAATCACTAACTTATCACAGTCTCGGTTTGGTTCAGGTACACTAATTTTATAATTAGAAATATCACAGAAACCGTATTTATTCATAGTCGAATTGGAAAGACCACCATCTTCTTCAATATCGTACCAATTTGCCAAACAACCGATTGAAGATTTTACATTCAATTCAGAAATATTTACAAAATGTTTTGCATATTCAGTTTGTTTTCCTTTCTTTGAAAGATATTTGAATGACAAAACACAACCAATTATGAAGTCAGTCTTCTTATATTTGAAATTATTTTCGAAAATACACCAGTCTCCAATGGAAATTATATTTGATTTCATAGGCCGAGACATAACACTACCAGTAGGGTCTAATTTTTTCTCTGACCGTACTCGAATTGTTCGATCACTGGACAACTTGGAACGATTTTTAGTGAAGAGCCAGCAAAGAGTAGACTTCCTCACAACCATGATTTCATCATTATAAGAGACTCGCAAAAATGGTCCATCATTGAAGAAAATGTTGGTGCTTTTGTTGGTATCTTTGGAATAATCTTTAATTTGTAAATGATCCTCTATATTCTCAATGTCATTCAACAAAATGCTTTCTGGATGGGACAGAGTACCTGATACGAGACCTGAAATATCTTCGTTACTTGAATCATCTTCAACCAAAGATACGATATCATCAAATTCAGATGACAAATTCACATCAGAACGATTGGATAACATTTCGTCTTCATATTCATGTTCTGTGGCCTCGTTGTCGTAGCTTCTCAAATTCAAATTTAAAAAAAAATTATCAGGTATGTCACTAATACCTAAAGCATTCATAGCCAGTTTGGCATCTTGTAAAGATGATAGCACGATAGATTCTATCTCTTCATCACTGAGAATTACAAATGGAATTTCCTGGTGAATTTCACCTTCTGATCCCAATCGCGCGCTATCTTCACGAGGGAAGCAAAAAGTGCCCTTCAAATTGTTAACTGCATTTTGGAGAAATTGGATTTTGTTAATACGATTCATTATTTCTAGGAGGCTGAAATTAACAATAGTAGAAAAGGTACCTACTCGTCATCGACCTTGTGGAACGAAATAATTGTTCGCAAGGCTGGCTACTCATTAACCATGGTACAAACATACTAGCAGGGAACCTTTCTTGAAATTTCGAAAATTTTCTTATTAAGAGAATCAAAGAATGAGCATTTATTTCAACTGATATATAATTATTTAATGTTATGAAATTGTCTTTAAGTGTAAATTCATTTGTTGTCAAAATCCAATTTCTCCAAATTCTCAGTTGAAAAACCACTTTCCATGCAAGATATAATCTCATCTGAATTGACATGTTTTTCATCAAAAAACAGTTCAGCATATCTCTGATAATTTTCAAATAAAAAGCAGTAGCTTCTGAATTGGGTACATGATCTAGTAGAGCTGTTGTTACTTTTTCTGATATTATTCTCTCTACAGATTGAAAATTCATTTTATCATCGGGATTGATATCGTATCCAGTTAAAAAGTGGACATCTTTGGAAATGTTTGATATCAGAATGGCGAGGTGTGAAGAAGAAATAATTTTGTTACCTACTGGTAGGTAAATCGATGGTTTAAGTAAACGATTTCTGAATTTGGTACCAATATGGACAGTATCTTGAACAGGTATATTTTCTGTCTCAAGATTAGCTTGAAACCAATTCCAGGAAGCATTTTGCTGTTCCAAATGACTCGATTGAGGAAATGTTGCCTCTAATCGCATACATTTCAATAGACGTGGATCACCATCCGATGAAAATCCTAGTATGTGGATGCCATATTTCTTTTGGGCATATTCCTTCATTGTATGCCATCTCTTACGAACATGCTCAGAAGATGAGGGACAATTGTTTTGTAATGGTTGTGCCATAATGACGTATGCATATGTAGACACAGTTTCTTCTGAGAACTGGCGCTTTATTTCTTGGTAGGAAGTAGCCTAAAAAAATTAATACAAAGCATTATTAGGTACAGAGCCTGAACAATCGAAGAAAATCTCTTATAGTATATAGGATCGATCTAGATTATATTATGGGTTTTAGGAAGGAACAACCTGTATTTCCGTGTATTTCATTGCAGTTTTAGATTCTCTCTGAAGTGTCGATTTCTCGGTCGATTTCATCAATATATCTCAGTTGGAGTCTAGCGAGAATGATTACAGAGATATATAGGGTGTTCAAAATCGAGATTTTCCAACTTAAGGATTTTTATGTGTCGAAAATATTCATTATGGGTCAAAACGGCTTTCATCTTAACTATCGATATACTATTTACTGACATTTAATTGGAACATATACAGCGTGGTTCAAGATCCAGAATTCTGATCAACCTGTATTTGTTCCATTTAAATGTCAGTTGTCATCATGATATCATGTGAATTTGGTTAACCTAGGAATTTATCAACAAACCTTCATTATTTTATTTTCTACTTCTTTTCAATTTGGCTATCTATGAAAGAGTGTTTTTCAGTTTCTTTCATATAATTTTGACGTAAGAATCATAATCTCCGACCCTGAAAACCCCCAGATACCGTTTTCGAATAGAATCGGATCATATTTACAAAACTCGTCCGCCATATTGGATCCGCCATCTTGAATTTCCAATTTTGACAAGCGAATCATAATCTCCAACTCCGAACACCTCCAGATACCTATTTTGAATAAAATCGGATCATAATTAAAATTACAAAACTCGTCCACCATATTGGATCCGCCATCTTGAATATCCAATTTTGACAAGAGAATCATAATCTCCAACTCCGAAAACCCCCAGATACCAATTTCGAATAGAATCGGATTATAATTACAAAACTCGTCCGCCATATTGGATCCGCCATCTTGAATTTCCTATTTTGACACAATAATCATAATCTCCGACCCCGAAAACTCCCAGATACTAATTTCGAATAGAATCGGATTATAATTACAAAACTCGTCCGCCATATTGGATCCGCCATCTTGAATTTCCAATATTGACAAGAGAATCATAATCTCCAACTCCGAACACCTCCAGATACCTATTTTGAATAAAATCGGATCATAATTTAACTTACAAAACTCGTCCGCCATATTGGATCCGCCATCTTGAATTTCCAATTTTGACACGAAAATCATAATCTCCAACTTCGAACACCCCCAGATACCTATTTTGAATAAAATCGGATCATAATTGAAATTACAAAACTCGTCCGCCATATTGGATCCGCCATCTTGAATTTCCTATTTTGACGAAAGAATCATAATCTCCGACCCCGAAAACCCCCAGATACCCATTTTGAATAGAATTGGATCATAATTCAAAAAACTCGTCCGCCATACTGGATCCGCCATCTTGAATTTCTAAATTTTGACAAAGAATCAAAATCTCCGACCCCAAAAACATCCCTAGAAACATCCAGCTACCAATTTTGAATAGAATCGGATCAAAAATACAAAACTCGTCCGCCATTTTGGAGCCGCCATTTTGTTTTTTGTCCAACAAAAATCTGCGAAATTTCAAATCAATCGGACGTTTTGAAGTGTGTCAAAGTGACGTTCGAAGATTTCCGTTTACAAACAAACAAACCAATACAAACATATACATATACTTACCAAGCTAATATAAGCGTGTTAATCGAGGTGTTAATAAAGTTATTCAGTGAAATCTACTCGGAGAAAAAAATAGATTGATACATTTCATTTATTCAGCATGTCTCACTTCGAATGCTTTCCCCTCGGCTTTCCCTCTCTTTATTTTGGTTATTAGTTATGCAATTACAACTAAATTTGATGTGGTATTAGAAACCGTTGATGTATTTTTCTAGAACCTGAAGAACCATCGGAGATCAAAAGCATAACGAACACTACTATACATATACATAAAAAAAAAACTAATTTGAATTTTTCAATTCGGAAAAACTGGTGACCACGAACGACACTGTCCAAAATGACGTATCTGAAATAATTTTCACATTATGGTTCCTATCTAATGCTTTCCGAATTTGGTTTGAATCTAGGTTTGAATCGTATGTCCAAGTATAACTTCGAATATATAACCGAGATAAAAAGCGAAACCATTTGAAGTGACACGCTGTAGACAAAAAGATATGACTTATCATTTTGTATTTTACTTACCTTGAAGGTATAACACTTGAAGTAGTACCGAACACCACTCACTAAACAATAATTTCCGAGATAATTTCAGTACAGTATATCACCATTTTACGAGTGATTTCAGTTCTCAATAATTATAACCGATTATAACAGACAGTACAGATAGCGAGACAGATAGACTCTTGACTCTTGTGAGAACGTTACACGCCAACCGAGACGCCAACACACGGAGCAAGTGATTTGAAGCCTTTGAAGCCAGTTCTCGAGCCGAAGAGCCGAGCGAAGAGCAGGGAGTTCTCGGAAGCTGACGAAAACAAATTGGGCTTTAGCGACATCTCCGAACGCACACACCAGTACGATTATTTCCTGGTATTGCCTCCAGATATTTCCCCGTATTTCCCCATATTTCCCGACATTGCCCAATATTTCCTAGCATTGCCTAATATTTCCAGCAATTTCCTCGCATTACCCAAATTTCCCGACATTGCCTCGTATTTCCAAATATTTCCTCGAATTTCCCGACATTGCCCCATATTTCCTCGTATTTCCCGACATTGCCTAATATTTCCAGGCATTGCCTCACATTTCCTGGCATTGCCAGTTATTTCCCTGTATTGCCCCGTATTTCCTCATGAGCGTACGAGAAATTTCCTCCGTGGCAACCCCCTCGACCTGAGTACAATACTAGCCAACTGTCAACCAAGAAATATTATGTTTCCTGATATAATTCTTGTCAGTTTGTCGTATCAGAACTTGAAGTTACGTGATTAAACATGTACAATTGTTGCTGTTTCAGTGAAACATTTTATTTCAATATTTTGAAGAACTAACCTATACCTATAGTGCGATCAAACTATTGCAATTTTATGCCATACGACTTATGTAGGTATTGTGTATGTTTAAGTACTCCCAATGTGGAAGTTGATTCTCATTTCTATGTAGTTTGTAGAATTATTTTCATTGGTTGTTGAGCAATAAAACACTAATGATGCTCATCGGTATGTCATGTCATCGGGCGCTATAGCGATTTTGAGAGGTGATTATTTTGTTTATTGAAAAAAATATTTGTGGTAATTTTTTAATGATGAATAACTGTATCAAATGCTTTTGATACATGCAATGATCAAAATAAAATAGATACCTATATGGCGTGAATTCGACTACTGTCTACAACCCCATTGTGTCACTAGAGGCATTCGAGTAATATTTGCATCGCCAATAACGTGATTCATTTCTATTATTAGTGTTACAGTTGCGCATCGAGAAAACTACTGGAATATTTATTATTCCTGACATTCACATTGACTTTCAATATTGACAAAAGCGTCTAGGACTTCCGAATCTATATTTTATTTATAAAAACGCCAGCATAACGTTCATGCTGTAAATTACATAGTTCAACATTTTTTTCAGTAGCAGCTGCTTTAATTATTTTTCTTGGAACGGATCCATTTTCTTATCTACTTGTGTTGTTAGTCAATATTCAGATTGCATCATTCACGTTTGACAGTCAAGTTGAAATACGAGTACAAAAAACGACTTGGTTCATCAGTTAGTGAAATAAGGCATTTCAAAACTCATGGTACAACAATGTTTTTTCTTATTCTTTCATAGATGGAAACATTCCGGGTCCTCGCATGTATTTTCTTAAATGGAAATGACGTTTCGTATCTCAGTCTAGATGGCATAGAAATGTCAATATTGTTAGTTCACGAAGAGGTGCATGGGGAATCGGGAATATCACTATCATTTTTAGCACTTGATATTTGACATATTGACAAATCATAGGAATTCACTCACCTGCCTCAGACTTAGTGTCACCTATATTGACAAATCAATTCGACTAAAAAAAACGAAGTTTTCCAAAACGGATTCAATAATTCCAAATAATGTTCATCACATGTATAAAACACAGAATTAGAAATGATTAAATTGATTTTCTGTTTATTGGTATAAAGTAATTGAGGTTTTATACAAATACCTGCTTATAATTTTTGACAGATTATCAACAAACAAATGTATATAGCTGATACATTTTCTGGACTTGATAAATGAAATGGTGACCAGGTAAAAGAATGAATAAGTTGAAAAGTTGATGAAACATGCCATAAAATCTAATTTAGATTCTACACTATATCGGTGACCGTTGATATTATTTATTTGGTACTACTTTGCTTAATGATCTCTTGTTTGTTGTAGATAGTAGTACGGAGCAATATACTGATACGACAGGCATAGATTTAGAAATGTTTATACCAGAAACACTAAATAGAAACGCTAAAGATAGAGCACTCATGCTTCGTATAGAACAAGAACTAGTCAATCTTGCCAAAGATAGAATGTAAGTACCAAAAACCTTTAAAGTTGTTTTTTTTTCTACGATCATGCATTGACTTCGAAATTAGGAATGACGAAAAATCATGCCAAGAAAGGACAATCATAGTTATTCGAAAACTATTCATATAAATAGTTCGTTACAGAAACTTACTTTCACAGAATTTAGTAGTCAAAATACACGGCCTGGGAGTTGAGTATTAGTATTTGGTCAGTGAGTGGGGTACTCCCTACATTTTCCCAAACAAGGATTTTCCAGACTAATTATTATTGATTCTGTAGGCGCTCTACATTTAATCGAAAGTTTTTATCAGTTGAAGATGATCGTACAGAAAATATCGCATGTCAACACGTGCAAAAATTGTTATTGCACCTAACGTGTTGTCCTGCTACAGTTCTTTCGTCACGTGCAATAAGGGGCTCTGTAACATTACAGTAAATTGTTATGTACTTTCCGTAATCCCATACTGTTATTTTGATTTGACTCTATTCAGATGTCATTTGAAAAGTTGATGGTAACAGCCTCAATCTGTTTGGATTGTTTAGCGGCCGCCGGCCGTTAACTGTTCCATGACAACACAATGTTGGGATTTTTCTTCCCTCGGAATCAAAATGTAATCTTTCAGCGGGATTACGCAAAGTCTTGGCGACACACGGCTGATAACGGCCTTGTAATGTTAATAACTATAACATCGTTAATCATCGCGATATAAGCATACGAGTTTTGAGCATCAGACCTTAGGTTGAGTTGTTCGTAATGATAGTATCCTTTATCGCCGACATTTCTTGCTACATTGCTCAAAGTTGTGAATTTCATTAGAAGAAGGAGAGATCGGGTTGTTTGACACTCAGATATCCATTGTTGGAATATCTGGAGAGGAGGAGAGGAAGACTGTCCCTACGAACAACATAACCTAACATGTTCCCCGCTCAATTACCGATATAACATATAACCTCCTATCTAGGATGCTCTACCTGAGGCTATAATATCTCATATGGTAGCAACCCGAAAATATCATCCAAGTAGCTCGCCTGAAAACGCATCTGCTCAATGCGTAGGAGATCCAAACTATAGTATTCATGACTTTGATGTGATATAGAAATCAGGCCAGTATCCTTCAATTCTTTTCCCCACGATACGCATGTGGGTCGGATTCATTAGTGTAACATAACAGAGCTTTCGAAAACTCCGATAGGGAGGCGTACGCCTATTTTCTATTGCGAACATGGGTATTTATCCAAATAAAGCTATGCGTATCATATACGGGGTGATTGTGAAATAACTACACATATTCAGCACATCGAAAAAAAATCAATTTAAATGATTGTACTTCGCCTGATTGTGCCTTCCTCACGGAAATTTGAACAGTGTGACGTCAGAATTGCTACAGTGTAGAACTTTGGGCGGAAAAATGGGTCTCACCCCAAATTTTATTTTGATCCCCAAATATTTTCACTGGTGCCATTCGGTAGTATACGTCAAGCTTTCTCGGGGTTAGAAATATTTGCACCTATTTCAATATCACCCTGTATATGTGAGTGAAATCTTCTAACTCGTTTCAAAGTTATGAAGCAAAACCGATTGGAAAATTGTAACTTCAGAGTCCTTCAGCGGCCAAACGTACCTAGCACTTCATACTGAAGTGAATTTTCTTAAATCAAATAGTTTTGGTCTGAGGAATATGTGTTAGGATGGTTATTGGCAAGACCATTATTGTAGATACTTTATATCTTACCCTGTTGAGAGTCGAACTTCTACTTTGAAGACATTTGACCTTGAACGAGAAAAATGTCGCGTGCGGCGTATTTTTCAATAATGTCTACAGGTCTAGAGAATTTCATTCTGCCCCCCTTCAGAAAAATTCCTGCGGGCGCCCATGACAAGCAGTCAGTTTTTGCACTTTTGCACACATAATATCTCCGATTTCTGATGTTTTTAGGAAGACGCACTACAAGTTTCCACCGATGTCCTCATACCAGCGAATGTTAGTTCACAGGTGTGCAGCTTACTTTGGAATGGACCATAACATAGAACCCACTGGAAAGTCCGTAGTCGTCAACAAAACGAAATGCACGCGAATACCTGAAGTAGAGTTCAAGGAACACATCAAGGAAGATATTATTTTTAGCGAAGAACCTAGGCGGTCCATTTTAAAAAGAGATTCGAGTAGTATCGAAGATTATAGGTAAGAGGCAAATTTTGCTAACTTTGAGATTGAAATTTTTCTGAAGATGATGTTTAATTATAATGTTCCAGCTTTAAATCACCAGATAGGTCGTACAGCTTAGAAAATAGGAGGAGTAAAAGTTTCGAAGAAAGGGAAGAGGAGTATGAAAAAGTTAGACGGAGAATCTTCAATAGAGAGGTGAGGAATAATAACTCATGTAGTTATGATGATTATTCTCAACTAAATGATATAATAGTAGGACAGCTGGCTGCAAATTTTTACCGTCATCTGATAAGGAAATGTTTTATGTTTCAAATGCATGTAAAACATTATATTTTATCGATCGGCATCTGTGCCAATTACTATCCTGAGCAAAATGATTGAAAAATACAATGTTTTTACATTCCTTTGGTACATAATAATATATCATTTCGTTATCAGATGATGGTTGAAATTTGCAGTCGGCTCTTGGAATTAAAAAAATTCCTTGTATGAGACAACTCATGCCTTGAACTTCATGGAAATGCATGAATTCTAATCCATATATTTATTGCAGATGCACGATGGATCTTCCGAGGATTTTGGTTGGACTGAAATGCCCTGGTCAAGTACAGAAAGTGACTGCTCTGCTCGCTATAGGTTGCAACCCCCAGAAATGTACCGACGACAAATGGGAAAATTAATCAAAGTGAGTCTCAGCTGATGGAAATTGCCTATTCATAACATCGCATTCTCATAGATAGGTACTCATGCCATTTACAAGTAGTTTGATTCAAATCATGTAATCAAATTTGGCAGGTGTATGAAAAAAAAGATGGCGCTTCTAAGATGTCGGACGTGTCTCAGCTGATGGAAATTGCCTATTCATACCATCGAATTCTCATAGATAGGTATTCATGCCATTTTCAAACAGTTTGATTCAAATCATGTAATCAAATTTGGCAGGTGTATGAAAACAAAAAATAAATTCGTCATTTCCCGTCCGATTCGCCTGAAAATTTGTAAAAGGTCGAGACATGAAATTGTGTGGTTAAAATTTAAAAATACAGATGGCGTTCAAGATAGCGGGCGAGTTTTTCCTTATTCGTTCGATTCGTCTAAAAATTTCGAAATCTGAGATGACGTCTCCAAAATGGCCACGAATTCGCCATTCTTGTTATTCGTCTTTACATTTATATCCAGTGTGTTTTTGAAGTCGGGAAATACCATGTTTTCCTTTAAAAAATTGATGGCGAACGTATTCGTTATTTATCATCACTTTATTAGCCTGAAAATGTGAAAAATTATTATTTTAACCTTCGTACTGAATGCCTTACAGTTCTATTTTAGTCTGATCGAAGACTCAGATTGATAACAACAAATTTCGTCAAAATTATCTAGTTCACTTCAAAAAATATTTTGATAATGTTATTCATTTCTTACATATCCAAGGTGATATGGAACTGATTGTTTTCGAATATGGCACACACGAGGGCACACATTCTTTTTATGCGAACCTGCGTCTATAATAACAGTCAAAAATAGTTACAGGAACCCATAAGGCGCTTATGCATCGGGGGTTACAATGTTGATTTTCTAAAAATAAATGTAACGCAACTGAATCCGTGTGGGGGGGGGGCATATTTGCTTAATTATGGACGTGAATAAAGAATTGAAATGTACTAGAAAAGATATGTAACACCTGTCACAGGTCCTCTGTATATCTCCTAGGATTCCTGTAACTATTTTTGACTTGTAATGTAGACGCGGGTTGACATAGCAAGACAGTGGGCCAAATTTGAAAAGAAATAGTCAACTCCTTTTCAATTTACTTCTACGCCCTGTAGTTTAATTATGTTACATAGTGACATATGAGCAAAAGATGTTTGAAGGCACTGATGATAAGATACTATGGACAAATTCACTTGATATTTCAATTTCTGAGGAGCTGGTATAAAATTGGGTGGGGTGATTGTTTATATTTTACTCAATAGCTATTCCAGTTGATATTGGTCTAACAGAATCGTTGGGCAAAAATTAAGTATTTTTTATTGGCATTTAGAATTTTTTACTAAAAAATGTTACATGATTGTATTTTTCGAATAGAACACCTTGTATTTTATTTCTCTAATCGGTAGAGTGTTTTCTTCTCATTTCAAATATATATACTTTATTGAGGTTATCTTTGTCAGTTTGGAAATATGCATTCTAAGACAGTTTTAAAACAGGTCTATTCTGTTATCTGCTTATAACCACTTGTTTGACTAAACTCATGAGATGTCAAAACATGAGAATAAAAAAAAATTGCTAATAATTGTAGGGATAAGTACACTTTTGCTGGTTTATAAATACGCTGTTTTTTTTCAGGGTCATTCCGAAGAAACGGGGGAAGCACAAAGGCCATGCGTGGCAAAGAGTTATAGTTTCGGAGGGTACGGGGGAGGGGTTTCAGTTCTCAGTAGGGGGGACAGCGTCATGTCTACTCACAGTGCTGGTCCAAGGCTCTTAACAAAACAAGGTAGTGTATTTCAAATTGTTTTGTCTTCAAATGACATAGGAAGTGGCCTCTTAATGACACTTGACCGGCACGCAAGTTGTACTTCCTCTGCATAGGTAGGAAAAGTTTTCATGTTTCACACGGCAGAAAAGCAGATTGAATGCCTTGACTGAATTCCTAGCCTCGCTACGCTCGGCTATGAACTATCAGCTGCGGTGTTCAATTCTACCTAGTAAAACAAATAACTGTTGTCCTCGGTTTTGTCATTGGTGTCATTTCTGCTAGAATAAAGTGAATATAACAGATTTATTCAAGTAGAAAAGAACAGTTTCATGGTGCCTAGAGCGGAAATGAAAAATTTAAAAATAATCTGGAATTGGTAGAATCATTTGAAGAAAATTAACTTATTATATCTACATTTGCATAAATGCTTTGAACATAGAAATATTCACCTACATCTAGCTGTTCCCTATATTTCAAACAATTTGTCATAGCTGATCCTTGAACTCAAAAATTCCATAATCATCATTAGATGGCTTTCATCTTCAGTGACACAAAACCTTAGACGCATGATTAGTCTGAAAATTGGAATAAACATAGACATTTTTGAAATTTCCACAGAATCTTTGATAAGGGAATAATTATAAATCTGAATTATGTACTCCTCTTCAATTTCGCCGACATTGCTTCAACTATTTAGACAACGTTGATTTTGTTTATAAAATACTGGGAAAGATATGGAAGATTCTGAAAACACATACTAGAACAAAATAAGCAGTGTTCTACTTAGAAATCAAAAACTCATAATCATACATTATACTAGTTTTATTAGATCTGAAGTCTGAAAATATTGAATTTCATCATGTGCTTTATTCATGACCTGAATGTGTTAATGGTACAATTCATATGTATATAATAATAATAATAATGATGATGATAATAACAAGAGCTATATTGTACCTCCTCGCGTACTAGGTCGCCTACTAGGTTTTCATGTACATTGACAATGATTCATGTATTCATGACTTGAAAATTATGTGGCAACATAAACAGTAAAACAGTTCAAATGAAATGGCCCAAACAAACATAACCAGAGACTACATAATTATGAAAATATATTTGACTCAAGGGTGACTCACCAGGGTAGAAAGGTGTCAAACCACGACCTCATTGTTTGGCTTGGCAAATACGACTGTCCCCATGATTGATACTCGTCAGGTTGACTATAATAATTGTTATTGATGATCAGAGCAGTATCATATCGGAAAATTGAAGCAAAATATCAATTCAACAAATTTAATATCTATCGTTTTGAATAAAATGATTTTAGGAATTGATAATGGATTTAATATTTGGTTCATGAAAGCAATCAGATTATAGGATTTTACCTAGAGCTTGACAATATGCTGAATTTTAGTTTATTCCGGAAATCAACTGTATTTTGTATTGGTACACTTTTTAAATTTTCCATCAGCCATCATATGTTTTTATCTACTGACTTTTTCAAAAGTAGGCGTTTGCTTATTCATATCAGAAAACAAAGCTGCCAATTCACAAATTACAAATTATCAGTTTCTTCATCACTATTATTATTAACAATTTCCATTTTGATCATCTCATCTCTTTATATTCCGGTAGTACTCAATCAAAACTTCCGGGTGCTATAATCACGTTGATATACAAAATCATGATGACGGAATGTCGAAATGATTTTCGTTTGTTCAGTTTAAAATATCATGAATTGTCCATAGCTCACTAAACCTTCCCAACACATATTGATATTGGTCTATTTCTTTCCATGTTTGTTTAATGTCCTCTTCGATCCTTTGATATATAAATATCTATTTCGTTATAAAAATGGGTATAAAAGAGAAGTACAAATTGCAATTCTGCGAATGTACCTACTTTATATGAGTCACATTGATATTGATTATTGAATTATTGATAGCCGTGATTTGCATGCATTGATTATTCAGAAATTCTTTTGTGTGAAAATAGAACTGACATTATTTTGAATTCCATGTTTTTCTCTGGTAGCTTGATATGTATGTGTATCGAATTTCGTAGTGGATACACACCAGTAGAATTTGTTGGTAATTAACAATGGGAAATATTTTTGTTGCTTATAATGCTTGGATGTATAAGGCAGGTAAATGCATTTTGTTTTCAATAATCAGTGTTTTTTTTTTGAGTGAAAATAAGTTGAAAAGTGAGTATTCATATCTATTCTTTGGAGTATTCATCATTATATTGTCGAATGATTTTATCGGTTTAGGCCTTTCCCTGAGTATTCTATTTCGACGAGGTGCTTCAGCAATGTCAATAATATCAAAATCGTAAATTTTATCTTCAATGCCCTCCTATTCCATTTCTTGGAAATTGTAAAGAAAACTGAAGTGGAAAAATCATAAATTTACAATATTAAATGAATGTTATGCGGCAATCATCAAATATTCAAGTTATCTGGCACTTTATCCATCTAGTAAGTTATCATATTTTTGAGTTATCATCCACTTCTAAAACGCATTCACAGTTTAAGGTCAAGGTCACCATTGATTGCAACCTATATAACCGGAATTCAATTGAAATCTGAATTATAATATGAAATATTCATAATTGGCCTGTGAAATTGTTCTTTCTGTTCTCCACAACATTGACTAACTATTTTTTCTAAAAGGGGCACCATCACCTCACGTTCGAACAAGTTCGAACAGATAAGTCACTTTTATCGAAATAAATTATAATTCGCAGAAGAATCAGTATATGAGGTATCTTCGTTTGTGCTGCGGAACTTGTTGGAGTTGATTTTTTTCCTATAGTTGTCAATTTTCAATTGGCCAATCTCAGGTTGTGACGTCGAAACTAGCTTCATCATTGCAATTTCAAATCAGAATGTTGTTCGCGCATGAAATCATCTGCATAAAAAGGCAACAAATGTGAAAAACGCGTGTAATTCAGTCAGTATTTCATCTGTTTTCCTGTTTCTGTTTTATTGGAAAAATTACCTCAATGAAAACGGAAATATTCGAACATTTGAATGAACATCCTTCAATTTAACATAGTGCGTTCATAAAGTTTATTGAGATATTAACAGAGATCAGTGACACCTACGTGATTCCAAACTAAATAATATTATATCTAGGATCTTTCATGACTTGATGAAATCGGCGTCATCTGCAAAACCGGATTGTGTAAATTCTTTAGGCTCCTTCTGCGGAAAGTGAACGCCTTCATCCTTTACCTTTCGTCCTAGGAATCTTTTGGCTGGTCGAACTATACACAGTCCTTCGAATCCAACACAATCAACCATCAGAATATTTCAATATCTTAGTCTCAATTGCATTGCCTTTCTTCGTATCATTCCATCCGAAATAACTTAATTTCTTCATTATTTCATTTCTTCATTTCTATTTGTCCATAAATCCCTCGTCTGACTTGCCTGACTTCTCTTTTTGTCCATAAATCCCTCGTCTGACTTGCCTGAGTTTGTTGTTACCAACCTCGTCATAATAAAAGTTACGTATAATTATAAGATATTCCATAATGACTATTGTCAAGAAATATCGAGTTTTCGTTTTTGTTTCCATTTATGCAGTTAGGAGCAAAGAATATACGATGGCAAAACCCGATATGTATCTCAAGCTGGGATTTCTTGTTTTTTTATATGAGTATCGTTCATTCCCAAGGATATCATTATTAACATAATGTCTGATGGTGAGTCCTACGAGTTTGCTTATACCATACCACTCACCTTCATTCACATAAAAGTCCCTTCTAAAAATGGAGGAAATAGGCAATAAGTGCAGTAAGAAAAAACATGTGTTCAATAGAGCTGAGAAAGACATAACATGATCAACTGTATACAATTAATATCATGATTCAGAAGAATTTTGCGCTGTCCTGCAAGAAGGGAAAAGGGTATTCGATAGGCGTTTTCGGAAACTTACTCGGGTTGATTGGATCCCTAACCTGAACGTTTGGTTACCTAAACCGAGTAACTGACTTGAGTTGATTTTTCGTGACCCTACTCAAAAGCAGGGTCGTCAGAGTCGCAAAGGACACCGTATGCGCATTACCAATTTATACGAATCTTATGTCATTCGAAAAACATGGGAGTTGACCACTCCACGACAACAAACTAATAATAAAATAGTTTGCATGTTGGGAAAAATGTCGATCAGTGATATACATTTTCTTTTTCTCCATAATTTGATTTAGTTATGCATCGAGAAGAGAATTTGGGTAGGTGTGAAGTTTGTGGTTTTATGGTTTTACCAGGAAAATATAAATGTTTGTAACCATATCGAAAAAGTAGGCACTTGAATATAACGTGAACATTTTCGTCCATCAAATTCACGAAACTACAGAAAAAATATCAAATTCTTTGTTCCTAACCCAACGAAGGAATCCAGTTGGTACATTATGATTTAAAAGTAAGTACCTACTGTAGTCACTCACATATAGTTTTCATTTTGAAATTTGGTAATTTCTCTGATTTCTCATCGGAATTCCATCTGCAATAGGAGCTAATAGAAATACTCGTTTCTAAAAGAATGCAAGAAGATTGGATTCATGCAATCAAACGGGAGGACTGGTCTGACATGGTGACGAAATATGATCTTGTGTGTTGTAGACATTTTCGATCTATTAGCAGTATTAGCTTCTATTGCAGAAGTGCCAGAAGGAATTTCAATAAGAAATGACAAAATTTCATAATGAAAACTATGTGAGATCACTATTTACCTGAAAAATCATATTCCTTTGTCTCTCGCTGCATTTTTTGTGTATTGTACAACAGCACAATGAGAAGGCATGCTTGAATTAATGAATAGTGCAAAAAACACCACGATTCGTATGACGAAATATTGTGAAAAACTTTTTCAATCCTTTGATTTCTCTGTAAACAAATGAAAAAAGTGAGGTTGCTTTTCAATGTTTTACAGAAAAGTGAGGTTGTGCAGGTGACTTATGAAGTCGGTGCACTAACCTGAATAAAATCTTGATTTTTCAGCGATCCCGCAAACTTTGATAACCGTGTCCTTGAAAATCCGCTTTTTGAACATATCGTGTTTCGCCTTAATACCACAGAAGTATGGTCAGTCTTCCTGTGCCTCCTTTGTGTAACGAGCCACATTTTCCCGTTGCTTTGACCAGGAAGGGCATTTCCAGATTCGGCGGCCAGCTCGGTCTCGTGGCGGCTGAGTCCTTCGAGCTCCGGCTACAAGTCCCAATCGCAGATGTCAGAATCGGTGACGCCGTCGCCGACGTCGACGCCGCATCCGACGGCGGAGGGCGCCGGCGTCGAGACGCTGACGGCGAGCGACGAGTCGGAGCGTCACGTGGTGTGGGCCGTGACGGACATGCAGAACGTGCCCAAGGGCAGTATCATCATCAACCCGCAGGTGGGTGGAAGAATAGGATTTGATAATTATATTTATCTACCTACTGCATCTAAAGTAGTCATTTGCTCCCTCATTTGAGGACACAAACCTGTCAATTCACTCCCACAGGAGGAAAAAATATTACAAAACAAATTCAATGTGACAAAAGTGTCGAATTAATTTTCTTTCAGACCTTACTAACCTTAGATCATTAAACACATTGATTTTTGGACTCCAGAGATGAACCGCTTGAAGCACAATTCAAAGATCGATGCACTCAAATTCATGCGTTCGTTCGAGCAAAAGTTCATTGCCACCCATTTGTGTTTAATGAATCAATCAATCAAACTCCACAAGCGGGAGGAAATGGATACCTTCGTCCCCTTGATATATAAATAGCAATTACCTACTACCAATATATTATCTGAAACATTACGACACTGATATCAATTTCGTAATGGAATCATAAATGTAGCGGGTACTAAAGTTTGCATTGCTTCATCTGCCGCAATTTCTATATCTGAATCTATAATTTCGTGATCGGAATTCTTATCGATGAATTTTGAAATGAACGCGTCAAAGTTGACAGGTCGTAGAATGAGTGACAACCGAGAACACACTAGATTCAGGATAAGCGTTAATTCAAGGAATATACAGGGTGACTCAGTTTTTAAAATACAAACTGAAATGGGTGATAGATCTCATCATTTTGATAAGAAAGTGTGTACAAATATGTGTCCAATCTCGATCAGTATCGGAGATGCAGGTGGTCAAAGTATAATAATTGTTTTCTATAACTTGAAATATATCGCTCACCTCTGAAGATATCAATTTGAAATTCGATGTGGATAATGAAGCATTTCAAAGATTTTCACAATCCTCAGGGTGATACGTGTTTGAGGGAAGAGGCTTCTTTATTCCCCCCAAAATTCTTCGTAGTACGCCTCTGTTATCTTCCTGTTACCGAATTGGGTGGATGGTGGATCGCTCAATTTAAAGACTTTATCTGCATATCCGTGCAATCACATTTTATTTTTTTCCTATTATGATTCGCCCAATGCAATAAAATGTACCAAATTCCAATCTGAATCAGTAGAGGGGATACAGAGGGTAGAAGGTTAGATCCAACTGTATCCATATTTCGGGAAGAATCTTCTTGTGGAATGTGATTATTCCCTTCGCGTATTTCATTATTATTAACTAACTCTGTCCAAGAATAAAATTTGAAAGAAAAGTATAGATGAAATTAACATGTTTTAAAACGGATATGGTTATTTATCTCGAGAGCGGTTCGTTTCTCGAAACATATTGGGTTGCAAGAACAGCCTCTAAATTGAACGATCCACCCTATTTGGTAACTGGAAAAAGTTAGAGGCGTACTGATAAGAAGTTTGGGGGGAATAAAGGAGCCTTACACCTCCAGAAACGTATCACCCTGTGACTTTAAAAAATCTCTAAAATGCTTGAAATGATCATTTTCTATGAAATATTAACCACAACAAATCCACAATCGATATCTTCAAGAGTAAGCGAGATATTTTAATTCATAGATGAAAATTGAACTTTGACCCCCTGTATTTCTGCGACTAATCGAGGTCGGACTTCAGCGATTACATCAACTACTTAGATTTTAATACAGGGTGAATCGAAAAATCCAAAATATGAAAATTTTACATTGAATATCTAACACCCTATATGAGATAATTCGTTAAAATCTTGTGTGAACGTATTTCAGCTATGCCTGAATCGAATAGGCTAGTCACTGTTCCGAAATAAAAGTTGACCCTAACTAACAATTATGGATATTTTTTTGTTAAAAATCGGTCGGACTCCAAATTAGGAGGTTGAAACACTCATATCGATATGATTAAATAGTTATTCATACACCAAGGTAGTAAAGCGTTTCAGTATTACGCAGGGAACAAGATTATATCCCGAGGCAAAGACTCATTCGAACTCCGCTCCGCGTCGTTCGCCTAACTGTATTTGCGTGCGGAAAAGTAACACTTTGCGCACTTGTTAAAAAAATAACTATTTCAAGTCATCGTTCTCATCGTTACTCATATTCTTCGAATTAAAAAAAATCTTATTCAACATAGAAGTACTGGAATGCTGTTTCAACATTATTCTAGTTTCACTTCGTTGAGCAAAATTACAATTCTCATTTTATTTTGATTTCATTTGATTCCACTTATCAAATATATCTGATTATAGTGATTTCAAACCTACCAACTATCATGGCAATCTCTTTTTCAGACTGGTAAACCACTGAAGAACGAGGACGGCTCCCTCTACCATTACGACCCGCACAACCCTCCTCCTGGCCTGGGTCATCCCACCTCCAAACCCCCGCCTTCCCCCCAAAAACCACCCCCAAGAGAAATTCAGTACTCTCCCAAGAAACCCCGCTCCGTCAAATCCTCCCCGACCAGAAAATCCACCCTGACGAACAGCTCCACCAGCCCCAGCCTGCCATTCACCCCGCCGCTGGCAGCCGCCCCGACGCCCCCGAGGGGCTACCCCTACGTGCCCGGGGAGAACGCGGGGGGCGTGCCCCCCCAGCAGTTTGGGGGGTATCAGGGGGGGTACGCGCAGCCGCCTGCCGCCGAGACCGGACCAGTTTTTTCGCAACCTTATCTCGTTTACACTGCCCCATATGGTGTTCATGTCCAGCAGCAGTACGATGGGAGGATGGTGAGTGATTTCTTCAACAGTTTTTCAGTTTTCTCGAAGGTCCTAGCGCTACTTATGGGTCAGGTCAAGGCTCAGGTTGATCCGAGCTTGATCTTATCGCAAACTAATCTCGTTTTCACTAGCCCATTTGGTGTTCATATCCAGCAACAGTACGATGGGAGGATGGTGAGTGATTTTTCCAACAGTTTTTCAGTTTTCTCATATTTCCTATTGCTACTCATGGGTCAGGTCGAGGCTCAGGTTGATCCAAGCTTGGTCTTCTCGTGAACTTATCTCGTTTTCACTGCCCCATATCGTGTTCATGTCCAGCAGCACTACGATGGGAGGATAGTGAGTGATTTTTTTAACGGTTTTTCAGTTTTCTCAAATTGATCCAAGGTTGGTCCTTTCTCAACCTTATCTCGTTTTCATTGCTCCATATGGTGTTCATGTCCAGCTGCACTACCATGGGAGGATGGTGAGTAATTTTTTTTAACGGTTTTTCAGTTTTCTCAATTGTCCTAACGCTACTCATGGGTCAAGGGCTCAGGTTGATCCAAGCTTAGCCCTTCCACGAACTTTTCTCGTTTTCACTGCTCCATAATGATTTCCAGTTTTTTTAAAGAACTTCAGGAACGGCTGTCATTTTTTCAAATTGCAAAACGTCATATTGAAGCGGTTCTAATTCGCGATAGAAAATAAGCGTACCTCCTATCGGAGTTCTTGAAAGCTGTTGAAGCGGCCTGTTCACTTTCTTCATTGGTTCACATTTTTTTAAGAAGTGATCCAGTTATTGCCGTCAGATGGGGTGACGTGTTATTCTCTATCGCGAATTATGCAACTTTTGTCTAATTTTGTCAACTTTCTATTTCATGCCGTTTAGGAAATAGCAATACGTCCCTATAAAATCGACGGGACCCTGTATCCATTGAAAATTTGATGCTTTTGGGAATTTTCCAGGAATGAAGAAATATTCTCTAGAAACTGTTGGAATATTCTAGATAATGATCTTTTCTGAAATTTGACAGAACTTTTCGTCATGTACCTACATTTTTATTTCCAGTGTAAAAGAAACAAAATTTTCGACATTTTTAGCTCTATCTGAATAATTATCAAAGTATTGAGCCTTGAAAGATGGCTTCCGTTTTGATTATGGTGGAAGCATATGCCCATTATATAGTAACATCATGAAAACATCTCAATTTCAAATCTCGTGAAAAAAAAACAATTATCAGGGGTACCTAAATCAAGCCTTGTCACGAGATGAACAACTATTTCTTATTCTTCAAGCTTTGTTTTGTAACATAACACTTATGAGTATTATCATCTGTTGACCCTAAATTGGCGTACGGAGTCAGTAACAAAGCCTGCAGATAACACACATGGGCTGAATGACCGCTTGAAAGAATAGTATATTGTTTAACGAGCACGGAATGATAGTGATTTCCTACGACAATGAAGTTTGCAGCATGAGCCATAGGCGAATGCTGCAATCATTCGAGTAGGAAATTAGCATTCCATGCAAGTTATACACTATAATTTTTCTACGGCTATAATCGATAACAGCGGCATTTTCGATTTTTTCGTCTTGTAGCCATCTGATTTCCTGTCAAGTAATGCTCATCTATCAGACAAAGCTGTCATTGCTTGAAATTTAACATTCCATTTTTTTTAATAATAACAACGGAGTAATTGTGATATCAGATACGGAAATAAAATTGATGACATACAAAGTACAGGGTGATTCACCATAAATGTCCCCCCCTCTAGCTCAGTTACTCCTGAACCGATTTCAAAATTTTAAATATCATCTTGAATGATTGTTGATAAAGTTTTTTTCAGCTACATCAGAAAATACAGGGTGCTCGGAAAAAACGATCTACAGGGTACTATTTGATTTTTTCATATGGAACACCCTATTTTTCATTATATTTTTGAATTCTCCCTGAAGAGCTGATTTGGTCAATGCATCACACTTGAGGTCTAGCAAGAATGCTTATAGAGATATTGGGTGTTCAAAATCGAGATTTTTCAACTTTGGGATTTTTTCGAGATGAAACTATTCATCATCGGTTAAAACGGCTCTCACGTCCATGTCTTAACTCTTGATTTACTATCTACCGACATTTAATTATTGGAACAGATACAGGGTGATCAGAATTCTGAATCTTGAACCTGTAAATGTTCCAATTAAATGTCAGTAGACAGTAAATCAAAAGTTAAGATGGAAACATAGAAGCCGTTTCGACTAGAGTCACTGGATGGTATTAGTTTGATAAGAGTTCGGACACAGAAATGACAACTGTTAGGGTTTTTGAATGTTTAGATTCATTAAGTTACACACCTGCATTGTGACAATAGCACCATAGTCGTCCCGCGCTTTTTATTCAAAATAATTGTTTGCATTTGACAGTAAATTTTATGAACGTCAGATTTGAAATAAAATGTAATAATTATACTTTCCGAGAAAAAAGCAGCTATGGAAATCACTTGCTGTGTAATAAATTGTGCCAAATCAGATGAAAATGGATATCATTTATTCAATTTTCCAAAACAAATATCAACCATTCGCATGGAAGGAAGATAATATGAAACGGCCTGGGTGGAAAATCAATTTGAAGACGAGCGAAATTTGTGAGGTACCTACTCATTGAAATTAGCTTCTTATAACAGCATCTGATCACAGAATGAAACTATATTTTAGGTCCAGTTTCGAACAGAAGATTTCAAAATCTGTTTGAGAGAATCTGCTATTCCATCAATTTACAAAGCAGACGATTTCAAAATTCCATTATTATCATCACACAAAATACAGAACAAAATAATCATGGAAAAAGAAAATGACCGTAAAATTACATAATGAAATTGAAATTTGAAAACAAAACTAAGAAAAGCAAGGAAACTACAACGTGATATATTATTGAATGGCGTTTTTGATGCCGATCAAATTCCAAATTCAACAGTGAAAAGTGAATAATTATTTATGTATCAAGGGAACGCTGGAGGTTATCGTTTTGGAGATATTTTCTGTATCGATCCATGTTACTTAGATGCTTAGCTCCTAGGGCGCTAAGTGAAGTTGCTGAGAACATTTCAGAAAAATGTATTTGGTATATCGATCCATGTTACTTAGATGCTTAGCTTCTAAGGCGCTAAGTGAAGTTGCTGAGAACTTTACAGAAAAATGTATTTGGTAGGTCTCGTCAAAATAAACTACATTTTTTACAAGGTAATGTTTATCGAAAAATGATTTGTTCTCTGTGTTTCAACACCCTGTATCTCCGAAATGAAACATTTCTTATCTAGACTTTGTCTTAAAATTGTCTCAGGAATACTTCACTTGAACGTATTTATGTTACTTCCTGTATATTGAGAATACCTACCTTTAATTAAATATTAATAACTTCAAGTCTTATACTTATCACTGGAGTACAGTTTGACATACAATAAGGATTAATAGCTATAAGTTTATCCATATGTGTATATTTTCTAATATTGAAACGTTGGTACATGCATTCTTCTCATTTATATAACAGTTGTTCTGCTAGAAGTGTATCGATCACTATAAATTGAAGTGGGTGTTTGTACCCTATATCCATGGTCCATCTACCGCTATGATTGATTTGACAGAAAATATAACCTCTAAAATCGTATTTGACAATCAGGCGCTTCTAGGGAAATTGAAAAGATAAAGAGCAGAATATATGTCTTATTCTTTTATTCACTTAAACCATTGTATTATAGAAAATAGAAAAGGACAAAAGTTCAGCTGTGTCCGAACTCTTATCAAACTAATACCATCCAGTGACTCTAGTTTCGACCATTATGAATAGTTTCGAGACAGAAAAATCCTAAAGTTGAAAAATCTCGATTTTGAACACCCTATATCTCTGTTATCATTCCCGCTAGACCCCAAGTGAGATATATTGATGAAGTCAGCTCTTCAGGAGGAATCTAGAAATACGATGAAATACATCAGGGTGTCCCATTTGGAAAAATCAAGTAGTACTCTGTAGATCATTTGTTCCGAGCACCCTGTATATTCTGATGCAACGGAAAAAAAATCTGAAAAATCATTTTAGATTATTCTTCAAATTTTTAAATCGGTTCAAAAATAAGTGAGCTAGAGGGGGGGACATTTATGGTGAATCACCCTGTACATCATTGATGTATCGAACACAGTAAAACAAGTGGGTACGTAGTTTTTGAAAGGTATCAGATTAGTATAAAGATCAGATAATTCATACGACATTATAAAAGCAGATTATATTTTATCATTGCTCATGTAAGATGGAAGTAGAGGCCATGGCACCATATCATGAGCATATTTTTATATTGAAACTATCATTGGGCACCAATGATGTGTATACGACGCTATGAAAGTTCAGAGAACTGGAGATTTTTCGTACAAACTACGGTTTAGCCCGTACCTAGTTCATTGGCAAAAATAAAGACAGTAGAGTGAGCTAGGTACGTAGTTTATGGAAAAAAAATCAAGACAGTCGAGTGTGCTTTTTTTACTTTCTTTTGTTTTTTGTTTCGTTCTCTATTGGCAAGTGATTATCCAGGAACTTGTAAATTTTTTAGTTTTTTCATCGTATCTCCCGAACTATTGAATTCAGAGAAAAATGTTATTTGGATTTTTTGTAGATTCTATCAAAAGGAATAATTTTGGTTCTATAACATTTTCAGATATTTCCAGTTGTTTTCGAGATATTTGGAATTATCTGAGAATAAAATTTTCAACACTTTTGTTCCATCTTCCAATCAACAAAATGAAAAAATATTCCATGCCTCAGTGGAGGTAGATGAGCTTCATCTATCGATAATCTATGTTTTTCAATATATCTTCATAGTACCCTATGGGTCGTTAAAATTTTTTTTTCATATTTTTCACTTTATTTCCTGTACTATTGGGTTTACAGAAAAAATTATGGAAAATGATTTGTAGGGAATGTTCTAGTGGATAACATTGCACTCTTGATAATTTTCGATTTTTCCATTTGTTTTCGATATATATT